TGACAGAAGGCTGGCTGCCACATCGCGCCATCGACCCCTCTGGCCAACACCAGTAGGCGGTAGGACATAACGACCAAGACAGACGGAGCTGGGATCGAACCGGCAACCTCCCGGTTACAAGATGAGTTTCCCAACCCCCTGAACCACGGTCGCGTTCATTCTCAACAAAATATTCAAAAAGACACTAAATAGGAGGAAACATCCCCATTTTTTGCTTTGTGTTCAGCTGTGAGAAACATTGTACATTATTTTATGTTATCCTTCAGCTTTTGTTCTTTGTCTTTTTTAACAATCGACCGAACAAGAACAATCTCAGTTTTTCATTATTAACACGTTAGAATTTGACGTCCTCTCAGAGACGAAGGCTGCCTAACATGTACTTCCAAAGCGTCTCTACGGTAACGCTGTGTGCAGTAAATATGAGATGTTAGCCTTGCACATAAACATAAATGCCAGCAGCTGCCCGCGTACTAACAGGACTGATGATGATGATGAGTGAACAGATGCTGCAGATGTTTCTGCTTCTCCTGCCCCTGTGCAAAGCACACGCTTCATCAAGTCTGTCCCTCACTGATTGGCTGCTGCTGATGGCGTTTCATAAACAGATGGAGTGATTTGCGTTTGTCACAACATGTGTGACCCCGATACTCCCATCCAGGCTTCATTCTGAACACTAATGTCATGTTGTCACCAGGTGGCGCCACTGAGCTATGATGCAAATTCCTCTCACACATACAGGCTGTGTCCCAATCCAGACCACACCCTTCTCGTACTTCCTAGTACCCGCCGTATGTAGTCTGCGAACTGTGTGTACTACGAAGTAGAGATGGCACGATACCACTTTTTTATGTCCGATACCGATACCGATATCATAAATTTGGATATCTGCCGATACCGATATGAATCCGATATAGTGTTTTTAATCAATAAAACTGTTTTTTAATATCTTGCTGCATTTTGTATAAGTTCATACTCAAGTTTAAAACAACAACTACACTAAAGCTATTCTGTTATACCTGTATGCAAAAAAAAAAAAATTTCATAGTTCAGCAATACTGATCAATCTAATAAACTTAAACCTACACCATCCTCCCTATTCTGGTATTTTAAAGAGTACTTAGTGTAAATATTAAGCAATCTAACTAATAGGGTTCCAAATCCCAGCAACAACAAAAATAAATAAATAAAAAATAGGGAACCACCCCTCACACTCCACCTCATGATGCTTAATCGATGTAATCAACCTTAATTTGATGCAGTGTGGAAAAAAATGCACAGAAATCAATTATTTTTCAAGAAATATTAAATAGATTCAACATCTTTCTTCAACAAAATTGCAGACTGCACAGATGGTACCTTCCCAAAGGAAAAAGTACTATAGCTTACTAGGGTATATTAGACTTAATAGTCACTATATACAGTAATGGACTTCTATTCATTTTACATCAGATTAAAACTTTGGGTGTCAGATAATTATTTATTAAAAGCTCGACATTTTAAATGAGAATAAGAAAGAAAAGTATGTCTTTGTGCCCCCTTTTCCCTGTTAATGCCCTATCGGCCCCCCTGGCTAAACTTTGCTAGATCCGCCCCTGCACAGTTACCAGCGTCAGCTACGTAGAAAAGGATCCTGGTGTAGAAAGTAATATTAAATACATTCTAACAACAGCTGATCAAGCTTAAATGTGCTGCTGTTGTTCAGCCGCTGGCTTCCTCTTTCTGCTGCAAAGTGGGCCAAAAGCAAACAAGAGAGACGGACTCGCGACAGAAAAGCCGATCAGCTGATCATTAAGCAGTTTCATGATTGAAGTAGCAGCAAGAAGAGGCAGTCGCTTGTTAAGCTTAACGCAGGAATGCTTTACATTCAGAGATGGACTTACACACTTGCTTTACTTCTCTCGGGATAACTTTGTCGGAGATGAAATGCCGGGTTGCTAGCGAAGCTCCAAATGCTATCCAGACCACCGACAGGTCCCGCATGCCACAGCCGCTCTATTACGTGATGCATACTGCTCCGACGTGCTAACGTTCTGAGGTGAGTTACGGCGTGTTGCAAGTTTTGTGAGGTGCTTTCGTGATATTTAATGGATCGGATTACATTTTTTATTTTTCTCCGATATCCGATCCAGTAGATTAGGTCAGTATCGGACCGATACGTAATATCGGATCAGTCCATCTCTACTACGAAGTAGGAGAAGTGAGAGGCTGGTGAAACGGGACGGTCTGGCCTCCGTCGTGCTGCTGAGGTTGCCTAGCAACCATGATACTAACCACGAGAAACGTTTCATACAGCTTTGTGTGACAGAAATGGAGAAAAATGTTTTTTAAATTTTTATGACATCACTTTGATTAGTTGAGTATCTGAGGCAGCAATATAACACAGCTCACATTAACAGTGCAGTGAATCCTGCTTGTGCCGTGATGTTCAGGACTGCAAACCGAGCAGCATCACTGACTTTCAGCTTGTTAGATTAGATTAGATAGAACTTTATTAATCCCTCGGGTGGGTCCTCTGGGAAATTCGATTTCCAAAAAAAGCACAGCACCGACAGAAGTTACAGAGTTATACACACACACACACACATACATATATATATATAAATACAGAGACAATATAAATAAAATATACGAAGGGGATAAATAGAATAAATAGGAATAAAAATAAAAATACAAGTGAATTGCACATTTCAAGTATTGAGTCTATTGCACCGTTGACTATTTACAAAAGTATTGCACAAAAAGTATTGCACATTGTTGTGTTTGTGGATATATGACCGACTTTAATTATCCACAAAATCATCACATTCTCTGTCAGATTAAGCTCAGCTATTGAACGGCGCATATTTAAAGGCTTTAAAACCAAGTTAGTACAAACGTCACTAACGTCACAACTGTGCCGACATGTGGCCAACAGTCATGTTTTAATGTTCTTCATTATTAAACATTTGCACATAAATAAGTGACATCATATTCAGTACTTACTTAAAGTTTACTCTTCAGCTGCTCCGCTTCAGGCATCCGCTGTTTTTTCTTTTTTTCGAACAAAATATCCACACCCACCGCCGCGCTATGAAATGTGGGATATATGGGACCACGAAGTGTACACCGGACCACACTTCAAATTTGGGGAAATGAAGGACGCATTTGTCGGCCTCTTAGAATTGGAGAAGTGTCCCAAAGCGTCGGGCTGCATCCTTCGAAGGACCCGGCCTTCGCGGTCTGTGTGCCGGGTCCTTCGAAGACCGAGAAGGCCGGAAGTGCGAGGCTGTGAAATGTGACGTTCTCGCCTTCAGATTAGCGTCACCGCTGTCTCGGTGGAGTTTAATAAATTCGGCCGTCTGCTCTTTCCTATCTAAAATATAACAGGACTCTCGACTGTCTCACACTTTGACGTTTATTCAGCTGTGTGAAAATCCCGGAGGAACCCAACGATGGATTAATAAAGTTTAATTTAATCTAATAACTTTAATCTCATCCAAACCGATTCACTCCGGAACAAATAAAACGCGGAATAAAACAAACAATTACATTTTTAAGTTATTTGAGTGACTTATAACCTGAGTAGCGAAAGACGTCGCTGTGACGTAATCGGTCTACAAATGCGCACTACGAAGCGTGCGGTCGCTGGATTGGGACGCAGCCACAGCATCACCTGTCACCCGACTCCTCTCGTCCTACCACAGCTGCACTCAGGTTGTCCCTTTACCTGCGGTGTGATCTGTGATTCGTTGATGAATGCCGGTGAGCAGCAGGAGCTGTTTGTGTTTCAGTCTAGTAAAAGCTAATAAAATAATCACAGCTGTGAGTGTGGGAACGATCTCCTCGGGATGAGACCCAGAAAGGACCTGAGAGAAAATGAAAGAGCTCGCTCCACCATTAACATGCGTGAATAACTTAAAACATTCAAACCAAACGATGCCGTAATAATGTTTGATGCTCCAGATTTTTACAATCACACGATGGGTGATGTAATCTGTGAGTATTTAGACCACAGCAGGATGCAAACCACAGACTTCTGCAGATGAAGACTGTGTTAGAGGATCAGTGGATCATATTCACAGCTCTGGATACAATTTTTGTATTGAACACTCAGGGTGGGGAACTCCAAGGGCCAGTATCCTGCAGGTTCTAGATCTCACCCTGGGTCAGCACACCTGAATCACATGATTAGTCCATTACCAGGTCTCTGGAGAACTTCACGACACATCAAGGAGGTTGTTTAGCCATTTAAATCAGCTGTGTTGGGTCAAGGACACGTCTAAAACCTGTGTCCCCTGAGTTGCAGGGACCCCCCCAACCCGCAGATGGCGTGCGTGTAAGCATCCGACTCAGACACACGAGCAGTAAATTTCAACCCTGAGGAGAGGCGGGAACATTTCCTGCACCTGGAGATGCAGAGCTGAACGGCAGCGAAGAGCATCAAGTGATTCTGACAGTATGCACTCAGCAGTTCGGTCAAAGCCCAGATCGCTGGGTTAGGGTTGTCGCTGCTCACATGTCATCAACATCTCAATACAACATCGGCAGACTGTCGGCACGCTGCACAGTAAGCTTCAGAGTCAAACGCTGAAAGGTGTCCTGTTATCCGTTAGTTTCAGGAGAGAAAAGCACGGTTTGAACGATCCCTTACTTACTGCTGCCGAAACAATCCCATGTCCTCAGATTTCTACAACAATCGCTGTCATGTCTCCGCTCGTCTTTGTTGATGTTACCAACATAAGTAACTTTGCACAGCCTTGTTATAATGTTGAGCATCAGTTCTGTTTGTTAATGAACTGGTCTCCTCGGGTGCTCCTGTCTGCACTCTGTGTTTCCTCATTCTTAGTGACTCTGGAATTACTTCGGCCCTGAAACATGTCCAGGCTTTAAGGAAGTCCCTGAAACTAACGCCACGCAGCGCTGATGATCAGGTGGAGACTTCCTGTTCCTGAGTTTGAGGCTGCCGTTTCCTGTTTGGTGGCTGTGAGGAGTTGGTGGGTTAGAAAGCGCTCGGAGACGAGTTTGTTGAAAAAAGGTAGAATTTTAATCAAAGTTTTTCAGCACATCTCAGAAGATTCAAACGAGAACAAAACAACAGAAGAAAACTCGAGAAAAGCTTCGACTACGACAGAGTCCAGAGCTCGGCTCTCCCGGAGTCACGCTCTCTTTACTTCCTGTTCCTCAGACAAACAGCTTCTGCTCTGGACTCGACAGCGGGTGACACAACAGTGATGAGTTCACGTGAGAGCTCCACGCAGGAATAAAAAAAACGTATATAAAAGAGAAAGCAGACGTGGGGGGAGGAGCTGCTGGCCGAGGTCGTTCCCTTCCCGTCTTCATGTGATGAGCTGTGAGGAGAGAAAACACAGCTGAGGAACACCTGCAGGGTTCACCTGTGAGACCAGAGCACCCCAAACCCTCGCCGTTCCCATGATGCACCGCCGCGTGGCAGAGGCGGGGTCACCAAATGGCAGGGTCTGTGCTTTGATGGTTAAACGGCTGCAGTACTGTGCAAAGGTCTTGAGCCCACGTGTGTTAGAAGAGCTGTATGATTTCACACGTGTAAATACAGAGTTTGATTCTTCAGCTCAGCGCGAGGACGTGCAGGGTGACGCTACGCCGCTTCAGTAATGCTGAGGTCCTGTTCCTCAGACCTTCATCAGCGTTTCTTCCTGTGAGGCTCAAGACTTTTGCACAGTTCTGTACATGAACGTAAAGAAACAAAGTGAAAAACAACACATGACGGCGGTTTGTGAGCTTCCTGTTTGCAGACCAAACGGTGACAGCGAGCGAGGAGGGCGGGGTTTTGGTGGCGGCTCAGGTGGCTGCAGAATGAGAAACGCGTCCACACGCAGCAGCCAATCAAATGGTTTCTAACATGTGTGGTTTTGATAAACATGGTGACGCACCGACTCGCTTCCTGTTTTGGTTTTTAAAGAAACAGCAAGATGAAGCTGCTCTGAGAGGACCCTACTGGACATCAGCAAACCTTTTCCTCCTTACCTTTCACAATAAAAGCCCACAACAGACACTTCCTGCTGTCATTAAATACTGTACGTAATGTCTGTGATGTTCAAGTATTTATAGTCATTTGTAAAAGACTCGTTAATTGTGGTTTATCAAGAAAGATTTGGTGCATGGCTTTAATCTACAACTTCCTGTATGTGAGAAGCATTTCACCTCAACAGAAAGCAAACCTGACACGTTTCTATTCACCTGTAAATATTAACCTGACATCGAGGAGGACGGTAACCTGGGAATAAATCAGCTGATCTCCTGTTGGCTGATGAGCGGGGCTGGAGCTTCAGCAGGTAACACACAGGTGAGCAGTCAGGCTGCAGCCCCGCCTGCACCTGCTCATGTTTCACAATCACCGTGACGACCGCTCTGAAGTCTCTTTGTGTGCGTGTCGTCATGGGCTCCGTGTCAGTGTGTGCGACTGTAGCTCAGTTTATATTGTTGGACGACAATTACAGAGTAGGTAACGAGTATTCTGTGTAATAGAGTACTTGTTTTGAGGAATGACAAACATGTGACCCACAGCATGCAGCGACTGCTCAGAGATGAAGCCTGTGGCAGACACGCCTCTGACCTGCTGCTGCCCTTTACTGTGGACAGCAAAGCACTGCACTAATGTCCCCACACCATCAGGAAGAACAGCGTGTGTGTGTGTGTGTGTGTGTACTCACAGATTTGACGGTCTGTTTGATGAAGTCCTTCTTGGTGCTCAGGTCGTGCTCGGGGTACGTGTCAAACACCTGGAACAGAGTGTCACGCCTCACCGTCAGACAAACTGAGCTGTGACACGCACACACATGCACGCACGCACGCACGCACGCACGCACGCGCACACACACACGCGCACCCCCCTGACCCCCTCAGTCAGCTGGTTTACTTGTGGGGACCAACGTGTCCGTCCCCACAAGTCTGAGACAAAGTCTCACCCAAGTTACAGTTGGGTGAGGGTGAGCATTATGTCAGAGTTAGAGTACCGACACTGTGTGTGTGTGTGTGGGCAGGCCTTTTCTGGGCCCTCGAGCCACATGTTTGGACAGCTGCTGCAGCCTGAGGGTGACGCCCCCACCTGTCCACACTGCTCAGCATCTGTAACCATGGTAACACAAGAAGCAGGGAGACTGACCCTCTGGCAGATCTGCTTCATGGTCATCTCCTCCAGGTTGGCCTCCTTCAGCAGACTCTGCACCGTCTCCTTCAGCTGCTCGTCGCTCGGCCCCTTCTTCACCATCTTGATCAGCGGCTCGTCGTCGTCCGAGCTGTCCTCCGCTGCACGACAACGAGCCGCAGAAAAACACACGAAGAAGAAGAACAGGAGATTTACAGCCAGGTCTCTGACATCATTGTCCTCACTGTGGAGGTCGCTCCGAAACACGCAGTGGCCAATTCATTAGGAACTAAACTGACTCATATTCTGACCAATCAGGATGTTTTGGACGAGCCTGGGTAAACATCAGAACAGGAAGTCTTCGTCACACCTTCAGCTGCCTCGTTTCTGAGGGCTCTTATTTTGGTAACAAGGTTAACGGTTGTCACCTAAAGTCTCAGTGAGCACTTCGCTGTGAAACATAAATTTATGGTTTTTACCTGCAAACTGGGCGTTAAACTTTGAGCTACCTGGGTCGGACCCACACCTGGGATCAACATGAGCGTGACGCCACAGACCTCTGATCACAGGTCACACTGATCGATGAGACGAGCTCACCTGTGTTGTTCCTGCGGTGGCTGCTGCTGTCCGCCTTCTTCGTCTTGGCCGCAGGTTTGGCTGCAGCGGCTTTCTTCTTCCTGGGCTGGAAAAGAAATCATCATGTAACGTGGGCTGTATTCAGTGGTTAGAGGCAGCCGACACACTCAGCAGGACAGTCAAAAGCTTGCGACCATAGTGGCAGTGGGAATTCCACAGTGTTTGTCCTTTAATAAACGCCAACCTTACAAGCCCGACTGAACGGCTGCGGTCTCATCATACATGAAGCGAGCAGAGTTCATACAACCTGTAACGTTACGTTGAGTTAATGAGGTAAACACATGAGGTGTGCGAGCACGCTTCTCCCACACTCTACAGAGGGCACCCGTGACATCACTAAACATCAAATTAGGCTGTCTTAAGGAGACACCGCACTATTATGGCTGGTACAGCCGCCATCATCGACTCTGCAGAGCGAGAGGATGGTCACAGAGAGCTGCTGGAGGAGGATGTGGTCCAGGCGGTGGTTTCCGGGAACATCAGCCTGCATCTGGATGAAGACGTGTTTGTAACGTGAGGAAGCTTCAGCTGCGTCAATGAATGAATTTGATTGACAATAAATTGTGAATCAAACTTGCATTACAGTGTTGGACTAAGGTGCTCGTAAATCTGGGAGTAATATGGGTCCTAAACTCAGTCCTTTAAGGTCCCGAAGTCAAACAAACATCACTGAGAGTTAAAAACGGTCTAAATTCTTTCACCTTTAATAAAATGATCAGTGTTGCTGCTTTACCAGGTGGAACTATGAAGTTTAACATCCAGGCATCCATGAAAACAGGATTCATTACATTTAACTGAGTTAGAAGTTAGCAGGAAGTTAGCTCGCTAGTTTTGCTAGTTACCTAAACATGATATAGCATGTTCTGACAGAGATTTCTGAAAAAATTAAAACGTACAGCTCTGCTGTCACTTCCAACATAAATGAAGACAGAAAGCTAAACAGCAGTGACGTTTGTAGGGTTACTGAAGTTGGGCTAGCTGGTATATAATGATATACGAATGCTAGCGACACAGCTATGTTAGCATTACAAACACAGTGAAGCTGGAGGATGAACGCTAACTTTTTTCCACTCGATAAAAGTTAACGTGAGGGTTCCTGATGGTTAGAGACAAATGCAATCGCATAGCAGGATGCTGTAAACGGACCAAACTCATCAGGAGAACAACTGAGATAATCCATCCACAATACGAGGTTAGTCATTAATATACTGCAACAACATGGGAACAGAGCAGCTGCGAGAGAATTCAACATTAATAAATCAATGTTACAGAAATGGTAAATGGCCTGTATTTGTATAGTGCTTTCACTAGTCCCGCCTAGAGACCCCAAAGCGCTTTACACACCCAGTCATCCCAACACACAGTCACACACGGGTGGAGGCAGCTACAGTTGTAGCCAGAACCCGGGGCAGACTGACAGAAGTGAGGCTGCCATATCGCGCCATCGGCCCTTCTGACCACCACCAGTAGGCAACGGGTGAAGAGTCTTGCCCAAGTCAAAGGAGCTTGGAAAGAAAAGCGTCTGGACTTCTTTAAGTTGCTTGAAGACGTTTCACCTCTCATCCAAGAAGCTTCTTCAGTTCTAAGGTCAAATGGTGGAGAGTCCCAGATATAAACCTAGTGGGAGTTTCCCCCCACAGAGGGACAAAAGGACCCCCTGATGATCCTCTAATCACATGAGCCAAGGTGTGAAACTGGGTGTCGGTCCCAATCAGCCAGAGTTTCGGGTGTGTTCATTGTGAAACCTGGCCCCACCTTATCATGTGAATTCCTGAGGTCAGATGGCCCAGGATGTGAGTGGGCGTTAAGGCGTCTGGGAAGGATCTCAAAACTGGATTATAGATGGCAGAGAGTTGGTGTCGTAAACCCCGCCTCTGTTCAAAGATGGTCGCTCACAGTGGACATAGATGGCTTCTTTCACTCCTCTTTCAAACCATCTGTCCTCTCTGTCCAAAATGTGAACATTGGCATCCTCGAAAGAGTGACCTTTGACCTTTAGATGCAGATGGACTGCTGAGTCTTGTCCTGTGGAGGTGGCTCTTCTGTGTTGTGCCATGCGCTTGTGAAGTGGCTGTTTGGTCTCTCTGATGTAGAGGTCTGGGCATTCCTCGCTGCACTGTACAGCATACACCACATTGTTAAGTTTGTGTTTTGGTGTTTTGTCTTTCGGGTGAACCAGTTTCTGTCTGAGTGTGTTGCTGGGTCTGAAATACACTGGGATGTTGTGCTTGGAGAAAACTCTCCTGAGTTTCTCTGATACACCGGCTACATAGGGGATGACAATGTTGTTGCGTGTAGGGATGGGTATTGATAAGATTTTCACGATTCGATTCCATTTTCGATTCTGTTTATCGATTCTTTTTAAAAAAGGAGAACACTAAGGTTGATTAGCTCAGAACTTTGTTTTATATCTTCTCTTTGAACAAGATAGAAATTTAGGAGTAACATGGCTTTACAAACCCAGCAGTGAGATCTTAAGAGATCCAGCCTGCGGCTCTTCAATGGGGTGTCACAGGGTCCCCAGGAAAAAAACTGTAAATGTAAAATAATAAAATAAATATTCTTCTGTAGCAATAACAAAGTATAACATAAATTATTCTGCAGCAATTACACAAGAATATCCAGTAATGTCCCTGCCTACAATTAAGAACATTCACTTACTGAAAATCATCTGCTGTGGCAAACGGGTGCAAACCTTTGACCACAAACTGAGTCACTGCTCGGTGACGTTCGTCTATCCTGCCTGAAAGGAGACGCTACCGGCAGACTGCAGCGAGAACTGCCAGCATCTGAGCCAGACTCTGTCTCATCATGGTCACTAAATGCACAGTAATGGCAGGTTTGTAATAAGGCAGATCGCGCTAACATAATATGTTAGTTGATTATTTACCTGCCGCATTAACGGGAGAGGACGTGCAAACGTTACCGCTGCCCGTAAATGAAATCTCTACTTTGCAAGTATTGCAAGTTGCCCTGTTGTCATCCGTTCTCGTAAAGTGTAACCAAACTTTTGAGCGTTTGAGCCGCCGTGTTTCCTGCCAGGTAAATGATGCTCCGCAACGTGGTGACATCATTCGGGGCGACTGGAATTGATAAGAGAATCGTTTGCAAAAATGGCAAACAATTCCAAGGAACTGAAACAGTGGGAACCGGTTCTCAACAAGAACCGGTTTTCGATACCCATCCCTGGTTGCGTGGACATAGATGAAAGAAGCATCTATGTCCACTGTGAGCGACCATCTTTGAACAGAGGCGGGGTTTACGACACCAACTCTCTGCCATCTATAATCCAGTTTTGAGATCCTTCCCAGACACCTTAACGCCCACTCACATCCTGGGCCATCTGACCTCAGGAATTCGCATGATAAGGTGGGGCCAGGTTTCACAATGAACACACCCGAAACTCTGGCTGATTGGGACCCACACCCAGTTTTACACCTTGGCTCAGACGATTAGAGGATCATCAGGGGGTCCTTTTGTCCCTCTGTGGGGGGAAACTCCCACTAGGTTTATATCTGGGACTCTCCACCATTTGACCTTAGAACTGAAGAAGCTTCTCGGATGAGAGGTGAAACGTCTTCAAGCAACTCAAAGAAGTCCAGACGCTTTTCTTTCCAAGCTCCTTAGGCCTTCATCAATTGGCTTTGTTCAATGGTCATAACAATTCGCATATTAATGATCAAGGAACTGAGCTCCCACGCCATTGTTCATTCAGTGGTGCTGGTTTCAGTCATTGTGCAAATGTCCTGTTTATATGGTTGGGGAAACCTGCAGTCAGCTGAGACTGAAGAAGTCACCTGGATGAGTGACAAAACATTTCTCCCACTGAAAACGTCCAGATGAACAGAATCAACCTTTTGGGATTTCCTTACCTGGATGATTGAGCATGCATCAAGACACTGCACAGATTCATTTTCTAACATGTCTTTATTTGATTATTCATTCCCCAAATGCCATATATTTACTCGAGGACTTAAACTGAGCAGCACCTGTCATTATAAACAGGTGAAGCTTGGCTGATGCCGTGATGTCAGTGGAGATGGGAAAATTCTCACAGTGATCATGGATTTGGATACCTCTGTCGTAACCAAGATGCTGTGATGGACCTGGATGAAACATTTGACACCCTGCAACAGAACTGGTCTGTGACAAACCTGCAATGTTCAGCTGCTCACACCGGAGCAGACACCTGTCCCACAGGCTGATGCGAGTTTGAACATTTGCCCAAAATGCTTGTAACAGGGCAGCCCCTAGCGGCTGGAAAGACAGTGAGACAGACCAAGGCAAGTGTAGTGGAACAAAGTATTTATTTGCTATATGGCGCTCCTTACCACAATTAATTTGTCGAGCTTCTTCACAGCACAAAAATCCATCCTCTAATGACAACTGGCAGCCTTAAATATGTTCAGCTGTCACAGACTAAACCATTATTCCACTCTCAGGTAAATTCTTAAATCCCAACCTTCCACCACAGTATACAATATATCAATAAGAATAAATAAATACATAAATACATTTTCACATTTACATATTAATAAATACTTCACACTTTAATGTTACAATAAATTATCACAGACAGAAGCAGAGCAAATCAGGATGAAAGTCTCAGCCACGCTCTCCAGTGCCAAAGTCCCTCCATCCAACCTCACAATACAAGAAAAGAAGGCCGTCGCTTCCCTGAGCAAAGACCACAACATCACTGTTTTACCAGCTGATAAGGGAAGATGCACCGTGGTCCTAAACACTACAGATTACCACACAAAGATCACTACTCTCCTCAGTGACAACAATACCTACGAAGCCTTAAAGCGAGACCCCACAAGCAGCTAAAAAAAAGAAAGTTATAGCTTGCCTTCAAGACTTTGAAAAGGACAAAATCATTGACCGTCTTACATATCACCGCCTTTACCCAGGGGATGCCATACCCTGCGTCTATGGACTTCCTAAGATCCACAAGGAAGCTGTCCCACTCAGACCCATAGTCAGTAGCATAAACTCAGCCACTTATAACATTGCTAAACACCTTGCTACCATCCGTGCTCCTCTCGTGGGGAACACCCCACACCCCATCAAGAACTCCACCGACTTCACCGACAAGGTCCAGAAACTTACCCTGGATCCAGATGAAACCATGGTGTCCTTTGATGTAGTCTCTCTCTTCACTTGCATACCCACCACGGAGGCCGTGGAGACTGTCAGAAAACGACTACAAGAAGACAGCTCCTTGGAGGACAGGACCAACTTCAACCCCGATCAGATCTGCACACTGTTAGACCTCTGCCTCACCACTACATACTTCAAATACAACGAAAGCTTCTACAGACAAAAACATGGCTGCGCCATGGACTCCCCCGTGTCACCTATTGTAGCAACCTTTACATGGAGGAAGTGGAAAGGAAGGCTCTTGGCTCTTTCAAAGGAAGAGTACCCAGCCACTGGTACAGATATGTAGACGACACCTGGGTCAAAATCAAGACACAAGAAGTGGAATCCTTCACTGCGCACATTAACGCTGTGGATAAAAACATCAAGTTCACCAGGGAAGACACAAAGGACGACTGTTTGCCTTTCCTGGACTGCGCTGTGCACATTGAAGAGAACGGCAACCTCAACATCGAAGTTTACCGGAAGCCCACACACACGGACCAGTACCTCCTCTTTGACTCCCATCACCCTCTGGAACACAAACTTGGAGTAATCAGGACCCTACACCACCGGGCAGAACATGTTCCCTCTAAGCCTGAAGGGGAAAAGAAGGAACACACACATGTAAAGGAAGCACTATCCTAAATGGGCGTTCTTAAAGTCAGCAAAGAGGCACAGAAAAGAAGACCAGACACCAGCGAGGGAGGATAAGAAGGACAGACGCAACAACATTGTCATCCCCTATGTAGCCGGTGTATCAGAGAAACTCAGGAGAGTTTTCTCCAAGCATGACATCCCAGTGCATTTCAGACCCAGCAACACGCTCAGACAAAAACTGGTTCACCCGAAAGACAAAACGCCAAAACACAAACTTAACAATGTGGTGTTTGCTGTACAGTGCAGCGAGGAATGCTCAGACCTCTACATTGGAGAGACCAAACAGCCACTTCACAAGCGCATGGCACAACACAGAAGAGCCACCTCCACAGGACAAGACTCAGCAGTCCATCTGCATCTAAAGGTCAAAGGTCACTCTTTCGAGAATGCCAATGTTCACATTTTGGACAGAGAGGACAGATGGTTTGAAAGAGGAGTGAAAGAAGCATCTAAGTCCACTGTGAGCGACCATCTTTGAACAGAGGCGGGGTTTACGACACCAACTCTCTGCCATCTATAATCCAGTTTTGAGATCCTTCCCAGACGCCTTAACGCCCACTCACATCCTGGGCCATCTGACCTCAGGAATTCACATGATAAGGTGGGGCCAGGTTTCACAATGAACACACCCGAAACCCTGGCTGATTGGGACCCACGCCCAGTTTCCCACCTTGGCTCAGGCGATTAGAGGATCATCAGGGGGTCCTTTTGTCCCTCTGTGGGGGGAAACTCCCACTAGGTTTATATCTGGGACTCTCCACCATTTGACCTTAGAACTGAAGAAGCTTCTCGGATGAGAGGTGAAACGTCTTCAAGCAACTTAAAGAAGTCCAGACGCTTTTCTTTCCAAGCTCCTTTGACTACGATGACTGAGAACCTTCACAGACAGTCAATGGTCAATGGTAACTTTATTGTCCCTGATGGGAAATTGATTCGCAGTATGTCAAAACAAACAAACATACAACCAACACATCACGTACACTCATTAAAAAAATTCTATAATATAATATAAGCCTGATAAAACAACCTAGATATTCCATCGAAAAAAGTGCAATGGCAACAACACTTACAATTTAGTGTTGTTAATTAAGATAATAGCACTAGGTACAAACGACAATTTGTGTCGCTTTGTCTTCACTGCAGTCATTTTATAACGACGACCTGATGGAAGCAGTTGAAAATCGTTAAAGAGAGGATGATCTGAGCACAACAGGACAGAGGTTGCCTTCCTCAGCACCTGCCTGTTATAAAAGTCCACAAGCTGGACCTGAGACCTCCCTGAAATCTTGCCCGCCACTTTAACCAGATTGTTAAGTCTGGTCTTATTATTCAGGGACATATTACCGTACCAAGCAATGATACAGAAAGTTAAAACAGATTCAATAAAACTTTTATAAAAGAGAGTCATCATTTCAGATGAAACATTAAAACCTCTCAACCTCCTTAAAAAGTCTTTGTTGGGCCTTTTTCACTGTAGCAGCAAGATGTGACTCAAAGGACAGAGTCTTATCAAGAACAACCCCCAAGTACTTGTAACTATCCACCATTTCAATGGCTGCACCATTTACCACTGTAAGCGCAGGATGAGGGGATGACTTCCTGAAATCTATAACCATGTCCTTGGTTTTCAAGGTGTTAATCATTAAGAAGGACTGATCACACCATGAAACAAACTCCTCCACAACAGGCCCATGGGAATCCTCTTCACCATGAAGGAGGCTTACAATGACTGTGTCATCTGCATATTTGATGAAATGCCTGTTGGCCTGTGTACTGCGACAGTCATTAGTGTACAAAATATACAAAAGAGGAGAGAGACAGCAACCTTGTGGTGAGCCAGTGGAAGAGTTCAGCTGTTTGGAAAAACAGCCGTTTATTCTCACACACTGTGATCTATCAGTTAAGAAGTCTAAGATCCAACCAACGAGATTAAAATTGCCCAAGGACACAACGACCGAGACTGTCCGAGCCGGGGCTCAAACCGGCCACCTTCTGATTACAAGACAAACTCCCAACTCTTGAGCCACGACCCTCCAGAAGTGGAGGAAGCAAGAAGAAAAAAAAAAAAGAAGGGGCAGGGATAGCTCAGTAGGTAGAGTGGTGGCCCCATGATCGGAAGGTCGGGGGTTCGACTCCACTGAACGGCTACCCTGAGGTACCCCTGAGCAAGGTACCGTCCCTACACACTGCTCCCCGGGCGCTGCACTGGTGGCTGCCCACTGCTTCACTGGGTGAATGGGTTAAATGCAGAGGAACTATTTCCCTATGGGGACTAACACGCACACTTTAAAAAAAAAGAATGAGTTGAATATAGTTTGATTTATCTGACTGCTTTGTTTCCCTTGATGTGTCTTATAATCCCGTGCACCTTATGGTCCGAAAAATACATATTTGACTTTTTTATTTGGCTCACTGCAGTTTAATGTTGCAAAGCTCCTCTTTTTAACTTCAGTGGATGTTGTACATGGTTATGCTCAGGATATGTCAGCCCATTTCTACTGGAAATGCCTTTTGGTTAAACTTTCAGCAAAGAATTTGCATTTGCACTGTTAAATGTTTATATAGCTTTAATGTACATAAAACAGCTGCTTGTTTAAGTGAAAATAAATGGATGGGGTTTTGCACTAGTAAAGTTGTGGAGTTGTATTTTGTCTCGCATCAATTACATCGTCAGTTATATCGTTATCGCAAATTTTCAAATTTATATCATGATACATATTTTTGGCCATATCGCCCTGCTCGCGTGTTTACCTTCTCATCTGCATCGCTGTCTGACTCAGACTCATCTGAAACTTCCTTCTTTGATCGCTTTTTGGGAAGACCCGTCTTCTTCGCTGGTGTCCGTGCTCGCTTACTCCCTCTGCTGGACTTGGACTGGAACACACACACACACACACACACACACACACACACACACACAGGTCAGACCGTTTCCTGTCAGCTGATCATCTTCTGCTCCACCTGCTTCACTCTGTGCTCACCACCACCTCCTCCGCAGACTCCTCAGACTTGTCAGACTGCTCCTCCTCCTCTTTCTCTGACGGTTTTTCCTCAGCGTCTGATCCTTCCGCCTCCGCCGAAGCTCCCGCCTTCTCGTCTTCCTCATCGTCGTCTTCGTCGCTGCTCGAGTCCATGACGATGGCTTTGGACTTGCTTCCTGTTTTGGACTTCTTGGGGCTGGACGACGAGCTGGCGGTTTTGGTTTTGTTCTTCTTCTTCACCATCGGGTCGTCGCCCGACAGCTTCTTCTTCGATTTCCTCTTCTTCTTCACTAGCAGCCGCTGCCGAAGGTCAGAGGACACGTTTAATAAAAACTGAAAAGCTCAGGTCCAGGAGAGTCTCGGCGCCACAGGTAGCTCAGCTCACCTTGCCACTGTTCTTCGGTGCAGTGAGGAAGGTCAGGATTCGGTCCACCAGGTCCGAGTGGGTTCCTTTCTTCTCCAGATCCAGCACGCTGCAGACCACCTTCAGCTTGCTGTTTGTGAAGTTTGAGTTCCTGCACGGAGAGAGTCAGCGGTTAGCCAGAGAACGAGCTTCATCGTGGACAGATGAAGGTTTCACGAACACGGCAAAAGGTTTTTAATCGATCTTGCTGCCCGCCGCGTTAAAGTCCGACGCTCAGAGGTCACCGCTCCATGCGACGGCTCCCCGGCTCTGAGCGCGCTCAGAGGTCACCGCTCCATGCGACGGCTCCCCGGCTCTGAGCGCGCTCAGACACGCAGCTGAAGACGTCCGAGTGGGTGTTTGCTGAGGATGGTGTGACGCAGAGCAGGAGTCTGCTCTGTGGACTCCTCTGTAGTCATCACTGGGGGGTACAGTGGTAGTACTGCAGTAATACATCACATATTCATGTTTGATATGACGTGGTAATAAAAACGCCCTGTCAGACTGGCGACCTGTCCAGGTGTACTCTGCCTCTCACCCAATGGTTACTGGGGATAGGCTCCGCCCCCCCAGAGGATGGATGGAGCTTTGTGGACACACGGATCAGGTGATAAGTCACAGGTCACGTGTCTGAGACTCCGTGTTTGATTTGGTAGTTTTAAACTCATAAATCACGTCTCCAGCTGGAATCGAACCAGCAACCCTTTGTTTGAATGAAGGTCAGCAGGTCGTTTAAACGGCATTATCCGTGGGGCGTCCCGCCCAAGCACACGAATCCCCACCTCCTGTAAACGCACCGAGCGCTGCGTGACCTCTGACCTTCTGTCTGTAGGTTACCATCATGGAAATACTGAGCGCACACTTACTTGAGAAGCTTTTCCCGTTTTTTGGCAAACTGCTCGCTGTCGGCATCAAAGGCGAAGCCGTTGAACAGCCGCAGGTTCTTCTTTATCAACGCCATCTGAAAAAGAAGGAACAGCGCTCAGAGTCAGCCCGATCACCTGACACGGTCAGCACACAGGTCAGAGCGCCGTGGGGCCACGTCCCCTCAGGGCGCGCACGCTGCTCGGCAGCAGACCGGACGTTTCACCGATGCAGAGATCGTCGTTACGGTTTTGTTCACGTCTCCTTTGTCCTGCGTTTAGAGGATCTGACCCACACGGACATTCCCGCTCAGACATCTTTACTTGTTTCAGTACTAAAAAGTTCCTCTCACAGTCGGCAGTTTCAGTTTGGACCACACTGACTGAAACACAGCGCGAACGTGTTTGCTGCCAACTCGTGGGCAGAGGTCCTCTCAGATACAGCAGCAGGTGGCAGGAAGTAGAACCCCCTCAGCGGGATTTACTCTGAGTAATCTGGCTTTTAAAACCGATTTCTGTTTTGTGTGTTTAAACGTTCCCACCTTCCCAGGTCTGTCGAACAGGATGGCGTGCAGAGGTTTCAGGTCAGCCGGCTTCATCTTGGTGATTTGGTAGCTGGTGCGAGGAATGTCTCCCAATTTATCGCCGCTGCCTGAAAACGACAGAGACGAACAGCAGCAGTGTTCAGACACGTACACGTCACGCTGAGACCAGTGGAGGCCACGGCCCATCGTCGCTCACCGTCTCCGATCTTGAGCTTCTCTCTTTGTTTCGGCACCTGGAAGTCGAGCCTCTCCACAGTCTTCTTTGCCCGTTTCCCTTCGATGATTTCTCCCACAACTGCGACCAAAACAAACTCAAACATAAATCACTGGTCTGAGCCAGCCCACAGGCCCGACCCCCTCACGCCGTCTGATCCCCGTTACCTGAGATTTTGGAGCCTCTTATTTTGGGACTCGTCTGGTCCTCCTGTGACAGTTCCTGCTGGTCCTCCACCTCCTCCTCAGACACCGCGGAGCTGTCCATTGCCCCCTCCGCTGCGTCACTCATGTCTGACCTGTTGCCGACACTCCACGAATCCTAGGGGCAAGAAACAAACACACACCAGCGGGCATGTGGTCAGGATTCTTCCTCCCGGACTAATCAGAAGCAGTACACTGCCATCACACACATGAGGCTGTGAGAGGTGTGTGCTGCCATGTGTGTAACTGAAGACATGCCCAAGTTTTCTTTGAGCAGTCAGAGCATCTGCATCAAAATCAAACCCAGAGAGAAGAAACTAACACACAGTGAGTGGAGACATGAGCCGAAAGGTCCGCTGACTCCATCACGTTGGCACTTGCAATCTGTCACTCCTGTTTTACCTGGCAGGTGCGTCTCTTTGTAAAATCTGCTGAATTCTGAACCGAGTCTGGCAGCGCGGGTGCTAGCCATCAATGCCTGGAGCCCAGTTTAACTTTACTGTGAATGTTCGCTGAATGAAACGCGGGCAGGTGTGTGCGCAGGCGCTCGTGTGGAACACTCAGGTTTGACTCTGGGGTTTTTTTGCGGGCTTTTGTTTGTTTCTTCGCTCTTTGCGGATTCTTGGCGCGCAGTTAGCTAACAGGCTGAGCGCTACCCGGCAGCTTCCTCCCTCCTCGCCGCCGAGCCCGCTGACCTGGCGGTCACCTGTGCGCAGACGGTCCGCAAGTGAATGGAAAACGTGAACCTGCCGTTACCGTTTATCGGCGGACGGCTGCAGCTAGCACCGCGTGCTAACGCCGCCGTTAGTCGCTCAACAGTCACCGAGCCATAACCCGCCGATAAACCGGCCCGGAGCAGCCGCACACGAGCCTCCGGAATCCCGCGGAGAAACAGTGGATCAACAGCTGAGAAACACTCACCTGCTCCCGAAACTGCGCGCGAGCCGCCGATCACCTGTCAGCTCTGTTTTTGATTTTGTAATGGCGGTTTCTCTACGGGGCGGGGACTCATGCGCAGGCGACCACCGATTGGATCTCTCTCCGATGACGTAAAACCCGTTGCGTCCTTAAAGGGAAGCGAACCCGGGTGACGTCGCGTTGCCGCCCCCTGTGTTCACACTGCAGTACTACAGGCAGGAAAAAAAGGATTAAGACAACGATCAACTAAAACTGCAATAAAAAGGAGAAAAATATTTCAATCGAAGAAATGAAATAAAAAGAACAAAGCAAGACTCCTTATTTATAAAAACTACAAGTGCTGAACACCTCAAAGACTAAATCAACAAAAACAAATATACTGCTGTTAATGTTCGTCCTGCTGGTAATGAAATGATGGATTACTGCCTCAAAGGAGACAAAGATGTCACCTCATGAGAGAGAAACTGCGTTTATCTCACATTTATTATATTTAATAAGGATAAAAGTTTGTCTCGGGTCGTTTATTACTGTCGCTGTCTGACTTTTACCCCCAGCATCAAAAATGAATTACAAAAGTGACAGAAACATTCAAACGTCTTCATGAAAGTAACTCATGCAGACCAAACGAAACCAGGAGGACAAAGTCTGGCTTAACCGAACCAAAAGGAATTCGCTTTAATGAAAATGCAACGCCGATCGGAATAATGGAGGATAGTTTCAGCTGGTAGCTCCACATCTGTCACAGCTGCCCCGCTTCCCTGTACTGTTCGATCCCCGGCAGGTTGGAGGGTCGAACCGTTGACTGCAGGACGCCGTGAATCACATCACATGATGTGAACCATCGCAGCAGCTTTGACACTGCCGACGTCACACAGTCTGATCATTTTAAGTAATAAAAATTAATCAAATTGGATTAATTTAATACGATTTAAACACACGAACGACAGAGCACAGGTGAGCACTATCACAGCAGGTGAGGACAGATTGGGCGGGGCCACCTTACAGAGGAGGGAAAGACTTGACAGGCTATAAGAGTAAAAAGAACCAGAACCCAAAAGAGGAACCAGAACCTAAAAACAGAGATCAGGACCCCAAAACAGGAACCTCTCAGGCCGACACAAAGCTGCTGTAAACGAGTCCAAGAATGAATCTGAATCATTTAAAAACAACAACACGTCTGAAAATAAAAAGTGCCTTTAATCATTTCCCCTCCCTCCTTTTCCTCACAGCAGCACAAATTACGAACTGGAACTTTTTATGGCCCAGAAAGACGAGGGCTCTGCAGCGCCACCGTCTGTCAGTCCTGACAGGAAATGTATGCGAAGAGTTTCAAATTAAAACCGTGACTGTGAGCACGCTCAGTCTGCAGCTTCATGACATGAAACCATCAGCACACAGCAAACCCAGCATGCCCAAGTTAACACTGACAGATTTGATTTCAACATTAAAGCGTCTATATGGGTCCACACCATGAGCGTTAATTTAACTCTTTTTGGAGAGTTTTTAACTCTGATTTAAAACCAAATCTGTCTGGAGTTGATCATTTAACACTTGTTAATGCTAACTAGGTGTTAAGAGTTTATATATTAACTCTCACAGAGTGTTTTATTTTAACTACATCGGAGTTATCTTCCAATTCATTGTAAAACTTCTGAAATTTTACAAATTCCTTTGGAAACAAACGTTTATTAAAAAGAGGCCATGTTTTTCTGAATAACCTTTGTTTTGAACTGTGCACCAGTGTACATGCTCTGACTTTCATTAGAATATTGTTTATCAAAGGGACATATGTGAGCTGGCAGTGCAAACAGCACGCTCATTACTCTTTTCTTCAGTACAATATGAACGTCCTCCCTTCATCACTTTGTGGAGCTCCAACTCCCCCCATATCCCACCTTCCCAAGCATATCCTGTGTGCAGAGTCAATAAAAGTTAATTGTGTACTAATTAATTGCAGCACAGTACAAAAAAAAAAAGAATAATTTCTGAGTAACACGTGGTTTGTATTTTCCCAAAAGACAGTTCCAGATACGAATCCATTGCCCATATTTAAAGCCAATATCAGAACAGGTTTGTTAACATGGTGCTCTCTCAAACAACCGAAGAACACAGACAACAGTTAATGCTGAACTACATATAAAACAGTCTGTTTCATTTTGACCTAAACCGTGTGCACAAAACTCTGCAGGGATGTCGACCCACAGTCAGCGCTTCTGCTGTTTGCTACGTCGGTTTGGTGGTTTTCAGGCTTCACGTAGCATCATTATGTCAACAATCTAAACATTGTTTTAGGTGTAATTGAGCCAAAACCTGACTGAATATTCATATACAAGCTGTTTTCCAAGGCTATAGTGTTTGGCTGCAAACAACAGATTTCACCGAGCAGCGAGGCTAATGCCTTTCACGCCGCTTTGTCTCAACTCAAAAAAAGTCACAAAAGTAAAAGAAAGTAATAATAATTAAAACAATCTCAGAAAAAAATGACTTACCAAGCATGGCAGACAACTCAGAAATCTGTAGAGCAAAATGTTCTGAAACGGCTTCACTTTCGTGCTGGGGCCGGAGTCTGTGCATTTACTATTAGTGTCATAGCCCCTTTAGGAGTTCAGAGTTCAGAGGTCAAGAGTTCACGCTTCCATTGTAACGCCTCCAGATTTGATATAGAAACACTCGATTTTAACAGTATTATTTTACACCTCAGACTTACGTCTAAAGACTGTAACTGTCAAATTAAAGTACGAACACCAACATATTTAACACTTTTGAATTTGCTATGCAGGTCATTTCCAGGCCGGACACATGGTGGCGCTGTGGCAGCAGCGTCTGTGAGGCTCACAAAAGTGGAGCACGTTTTTATTCTCGGGCTCAGTCGCACTGTTGCCTAGCAACAGCAGCAGCATCTCAGAGAGAGGGGCGTCCTGTATGGAGGGTGATTAATGCCGCGTATGGCTGCACACCAGCTCGCTCTCGTTATTATCAAGTTTCACACTTTGGATGTTTGTCTTCATCTCTGTAGACGGGAACAGGGTGGTTGCTGCTCCGCCTTTTCCTCTTCACCCCACACAGTGGGCAGAGTCAACTGTCCAATCAGAATTCAAAGCAAAACTGTAAAAAACATGAATTCTGCCTGCAGGGAATGAAGTAATCAGATTACACTGCAGGCAGATTTGTTACTGACGGAAGCCTCGTGGTGTCAGAGTGAAGCACACCGAGAATGATTAAGAAATAAAACTTTATGTAAATGCCACTTTGACTTATAAAGCCAGCAAACGCGTGTGAGCCCAGCCGAGTGTTTTACACCTGAAACGGTGAGTACACATTCTTTATGCTTCGTGTTCGAGGTAGACTGTTTTTACCTATAATAATTATTTTAACACTGAATATATGAGCTGAATGCGCGAATCTAGTCTATAAACAACAAAGAGTTTCAGGGCCAAATTAAGAAAAACATAATAATGAGTCAGTGCAACAAACCGATCAGCCGTCCTGCGATACAACACCCGTCCTCTTACTGCTCCAGGCCCTCGATGACCTCACAGCTGTTCAAATCCACTGTTCCACGATTTCCTGTGTGAGCAGCTTCTGCAGTGTCTGTGCAGCGTTCTCACGCTGATCACCATCCTGCGTCTTTGAGCTGAAACACAAATCACGTTCTTCCTTTAACCATCCTGAAGTACGACCTCACAGTTTGTCCTGAAACAACAGCTGTAATCTGCACAGATCATTTGTTTTCTTCATGTTTCCATGATACTCAGTCCTGATACTCAGTCCTGATACTCAGCCATGATACTCAGCCATGATACTCAATCCTGATACTCAGTCCTGATACTCAGCGACGATACTCAGTCCTGATACTCAGCCATGATACTCAGCCACGATACTCAGTCCTGATACTCAGCCATGATACTCAGCCATGATATTCAGGCATGATACTCTATCCTGATACTCAGTCCTTATACTCAGCCATGATACTCAGTCCTGATACTCAGCCATGATACTCAGCCACGATACTCAGCCATGACACTCAGTCCTGATACTCAGCCACGATACTCAGTCCTGATACTCAGCCATGATACTCAGCCACGATACTCAGCCATGACACTCAGTCCTGATACTCAGCCATGATACTCAATCCTGATACTCAGTCCTGATACTCAGCCACGATACTCAGTCCTGATACTCAGCCATGATACTCAGCCACGATACTCAGCCATGATACTCAGTCCTGATACTCAGCCATGATACTCATCCATGATACTCAGTCCTGATACTCAGCCATGATACTCAGCCATGATACTCAATCCTGATACTTAGTCCTGATACTCAGCCACATACTCAGTCCTGATACTCAGTCATGATACTCAGCCATGATACTCAGTCCTGATACTCAGTCCTGATACTCAGCCATGATACTCAGCCATGATACTCAGTCATGATACTCAGTCCTGATACTCAGCCATGATACTCAGCCATGATACTCAGCCACGATACTCAGTCCTGATACTCATCCATGATACTCAGCCACGATACTCAGTCCTGATACTCAGTCATGATACTCAGCCATGATACTCATCCATGATACTCAGTCCTGATACTCAGTCCTGATACTCAGCCATGATACTCAGTCCTGATATTCAGCCATGATACTCAGTCCTGATATTGAGCCACGATACTCAGTCCTGATACTCAGTCCTGATACTCAGCCACGATACTCAGTCCTGATACTCAGCCACGATATTCAGCCATGATACTCAGTCCTGATATTCAGCCATGATACTCAGTCCTGATACTCAGTCCTGATACTCAGCCATGATACTCATCCATGATACTCAGTCCTGATACTCAGTCCTGATACTCATCCATGATACTCAGTCCTGATACTCAGCCATGATACTCAGTCCTGATACTCAGCCATGATACTCAGTCCTGATACTCAGTCATGATACTCAGCCATGATATTCAGCCATGATACTCAGTCCTGATATTGAGCCACGATACTCAGTCCTGATACTCAGTCCTGATACTCAGCCACGATACTCAGTCCTGATACTCAGCCACGATATTCAGCCATGATACTCAGTCCTGATATTCAGCCATGATACTCAGTCCTGATACTCAGTCCTGATACTCAGCCATGATACTCATCCATGATACTCAATCCTGATACTCAGTCCTGATATTCAGCCATGATACTCAGTCCTGATACTCAGCCACGATACTCAGTCCTGATACTCAGCCATGATATTCAGCCATGATACTCAGTCCTGATATTCAACCATGATACTCAGTCCTGATACATAGTCCTGATACTCAGCCATGATACTCAGTCCTGATACTCAGTCCTGATACTCAGCCATGATACTCAGCCATGATACTCAGTCCTGATACTCAGTCCTGATACTCACAGCTGTGATGACCAACATCACTTTAACACTGATGCTGAAGATGTGATATCAGTCATGACTGGAATATCAGTACTTGCTTTATTCATCTTCATGCACCCTCACACGTCTGCACCGCTGCTCTCAGGGTGCTGCTTGTTTGCCACCTCATACTGCAGTGTGTCACTAAGCGGCCTCCATACCTACATCCTCAGTTTTAAAAGCACACCGCGAATCAGAGAGAGCAGAGAGCTGGAGGGAGCGCCAGGTCCTCCTGCTACAGACCTCCTCTCTGAACACCTCCTCGTCTCTGACACCAGCTGGACTTTCTCTCTGCTGTCAGCATGTGAGGACGTGGAGCTATCTTCATTTGGAGCAGGTGAGTCCGTCAGCTGAGGTGTTTTCACTGAAGCAGCTCTCAGGTGGTCTGAAAACTGTGACCTGTCATTTCTGTGCATGTGTTTTAGGACACGTCTGTAATCTGCAGCTGATGCAAAGACTCTCTCCAAACGGAGTCATCGACTCTTTGCTTAAACGAAGATTTTAAGCTTTTAATAAAAGACCCAAACTGTCACTTTAACCTGGGGGGTGGGGGTGGGGGGTGTAAACTGAGGTGTGTTTGTGTTCTCCTCAAGTCCCGGAGGGAAATGTTTCATGTTCTGCTGCTGGTTTGATCATCTTCATCATCACCGTCATCGTCTTCCTGTAAACAGGTCAGGGGCGATTCAAGCATTAGAGCTTTGGGGGTGAGAGCTGCCCAGCCAGGCAAGATAAATCATAAGATTCTTAAATTCATCAAGTCCCTCTGTGCCTGGGTCCTCGTCACAAAACATGACATCACTGTTTTGTACATTTGAACACAATTTAATCCCACATCTGTGAAAGAAAAGCAAAACACTTTTTTGAAAAGTCTGTAACAAAACCATCAAATCTGATAAAGGTTATTTAAATGCTGCTAAAGAAGAATGGATTGGAATAGAAAAATATATATGCTAACCTTAGTTACTGGGAGAATAATGAATGATGCTCATAGTAAAAAGTAAACTGACTGCGTTTTTTGGACAAAGATTCACTTTTAATGTGTGTGTATAATATAATACAGATACATAAAAAACGCTCCCAAAACAGAATAAATTATTACAAATAAAAATCTTTACTGCAGATGCTAATTTTACTAATTTAATAAGACTAATTTTGTGTTGTAAGATTTATGACTTTCATGCTTTCATAGTGGTGCTTGGGACAGCTTGACCTTTTATCAGGTGGTCCACACTGTAAAAAGTGTGAGAAACACTGATAAGTGTCTGTGTGCTTTTGGAAAACATTTAAAGCTGCTGTACAGAATCTTTGAAACAAGCTTAAAACATTTTTAGAAACAGAGCATCTGCTTCTCTTTACAGCTGCTCGCTCCACCAGGGCTGTTTGGCTCTTTCTGATAGTGAGCACATGTGATGCACGTACTGCAGCAGTCATACAGACAACTGGACGGTCCAAACGTTGGCCGACCTGTTACTGGCTGAGGTTTTAGTAGAGCTGTGGCTGAACCACATAAAAATATATCATTAATTTCAATCTCCCCGATCAATGATAATGTTATGTTGGGATGTTGTTAAAGAGGCTCAAAGTGTTTCAGCCCAGTTTGTTTAGCAGATTCTGTTTAGTAGCTTTAATACAGGGAGGACACAACTTCCAGACTGTGAGCAAAATCAGGTTTTTCTCTTTGTCAGTTTCACAGTTTCTGCCTGTCACTGCTCCCTGTCTGTTTGCTTACCTGGTTCTTCCTGACCTTGTACTTTCTCCTCACGTTCCCTCTTTCCTCTCTCCCTCTTTGGACTGACAATCGAACACAAATAGATTCAACTAGATGAAAAATTACATTAATATGAAAAAATACTAAAAATACTCCTCTCTCAGTTTAGTTTCAACCAAAAGGAAAATAACCAAACCACACGAACATCTAATAAAAGATATAAATATTGAAACAGATCCAACATTATTCTTGATTGAGGGATCATTTGATTTTACACTTTTACCTGAATGTGGCTCTTTTTTTTGAAAAAAAACTTCCTTATATCCATTATGAACCTGGCTGTCTGCACAAAAACAATGGTAAATGGCCTGTATTTGTATAGCGCTTTAGTAGTCATCCACACATTCATACACTGATGCTGGCAAGCTACATTGTAGCCACAGCCACCCTGGGGCGCACTGACATGTGTGCGCCCCAGGGTGGCCCCAAAACACACACACACACACACACACACACACACACACACACACACACACACACACACACACACACACACAACAGGAGTTATAAGGTTAATGGGCATCCAGTCAGTTAGTACCCATTTCAAACAGGACAGTGGTAACAACAGCAGGCTGCAGACAATTTTAAGTTTTAGGTTTTAAACAGGCTGTATACATTTCAATGGGAGCAACAGGACGGTCAAATGTCGCTGATTTTACTACAGAGCAGGACGGATTGTAGGGCAGCAAACATTGTAAGAAAACATGTTTCCAACACTGCAGGTTACCTGTTTTTCAGCTAAAAAGAAACATGTTCTGACTCCTACCAACTATATAAAGAGCAACTGAAGGTTAAATGCAGCTAATATGTCCTGTTTTAACCCTTGGATGCACAACCTACCAGTACTCTACCTCTGTGGGGGGTCACTCCCACTAGGTTTATATCTGGGACTCTCCACCATTTGACCTTAGAACTGAAGAAGCTTCTCGGATGAGAGGTGAAACGTCTTCAAGCAACTTAAAGAAGTCCAGACGCTTTTCTTTGCAAGCTCCTTTGACCACGATGACCTGGATGACTGAGAACCTTCACAGACATCCTACCAGTACCTACACTCTTCCACGAGTGGGGTCAAAAATGACCCCAAATAGAAACAATGCATTTTGCTATAAACGCAGTTGTTATTCTTCCAAATCTTTAAAACAAAGAGTTGTAATATTTTCATATTTGAGGTGTTCCTCATAAAACATGTTTGTGACATGAGGCACTTTGCATTTTTATTTATTTTTTCATTCATTTTAAGAAATTGCAGTTTTTGTATCACTTGTATCACTTTTGTATGCTTGCTCTGCATATACTGCAGGAGCTCGGTCTTCCCTCTGAAAGGCACAAGTTGTTCATCCACTGTAACACAGTCACTGAGGATGAATTTCTGCCTGCAGTTGACCAGGAACAGGCCCCATATGTAGCTGAAAGCTGCCACGTGGTTTGTTTTCAGTCGGTAGGCTCTGGTCCTCTTGTCATCAAAGTGCAAGACGGGCAAATATCTTTAAATCTTTGAATTGACATAGTGGCCTTGTACAATGGGTTATGCAGAGGACTCCCAAAAAGCACACCGACTGGTACATCCCAGTTCGTCTCACTTCCTGCAAGGATGGTCAATCAAATGAAGGCCAGGAGCTTATGTTTGATTACATTTTTCCACTCTTTTCCCCTGTCTGTGGCGACTCTTCGTGCCTCCATGTTTGTGCATGTCAGCACCTCTTCTATTATATTATCAGACATGAACATCTTCCATGCATTTACTGGGGAGACAGTAGTAGACCCAGGTGCAAGCCCTGGCTGACTAATTCAGAATATTGTGGCTAGAGCAGTAAGAGGGGCTCATTCTGTGTCTGACTGGCTTGTTCAGTGGGGAAGGGGGGGGGGGGGGACAATACTCTGGGTCCTCTATATCTTAGATGTCAGATTCTGAGTCAATGCCTCTGACGGGCTCTTCATCCCATCCGTCCTGGATCATTTGTAGAGCCACAGGGATCCTAGCTGGCCTCATAGCGGCCGTGTTACTTTAGATATTAAAAAAAAACATCAGAAAGGACAATGTTTGAAATGCACAGGAAACTATAAACAGGGCTGCACATAAATGGTCCACAGGTGCACATTCGCTGTCAAAATAAAAGACACGCACCAGATAAGAAGTTGGGATGCTCGTTTGCGTACATTAGATGTTCTGGAGGAGGACAGACATTTGTTCAGAACTCTTAAAGATGTCGAAGAAGCAAGCTCCGTAAGCAATTACTTTGGTGTTCCTCCACCGCAAAAGAAGCGCGTATTCTCTGAATACTTTTATTTTGACAGCGAATGTGCACCTGCAGACCACTTATGTGAAGCCCTGACTATAAATCATGTATGTTACTGTGTAAAAATTAATTCTTGATCCATCAGAAGTGTAAGTGGGTCAGTCAGAGATGCTAGGAATGAAAGTTTCATAGAAGATTCCAGAGGAACTGCTTGGGGTCATTTCTGACCCCACTTGTGGAAGAGTGGGGTAGTGATACAAAAACTGCATTTTTTATAAATTAATGAAAAAAAATGCAAATGGCCTCATGTTACACACATATTTTATGAGGAATACCTGGAATATGAATATATTACAACTTTGCATTTTAAAGATTTCGAAGAAAAACAACCTGTGGGGTCATTTTTGACCCCACATGTGCATCTAAGGGTTGAGGCAGGCACTAACACCTCCGCTCCGCTGCGTCTCAGCCACCATCGCTCTGGCAGCAACGGTGCTGGAGCCAGAGCAGGGGAGAGCTGGAACAAACCATTTTAGGAGGGGGGGGGGGGGGGGGTTATCTATACATTTGTTGTTAAAATGTGTCGACACTCGACCCCCTGCTGTTCTCAGGCTTCACAGCCAATACTGTCAAACAGGAAGTGAGTTTACGTCCACACATCAGAGAGTCCACTGGGACGCTTCATTAGTGATTCACACGTCTGAGCCAACCACACCCAGCAGCGCTTTCAGGTGGTGGACAGCACCTCGCTCTCTCCTCGTGGAACATTCAGAGTAAGAATGACAAATTTGGACAGAGACACCACAGAAAAAGGAATGAATGGTGACAGGAAGAGATTCATCAGATTACTTAGGACTGCTCGCTGCGATATTTCCATACAGCGCAGATCTGCTTCATGCTTTCAGCCTGATTCTCTTCTCTCTGATTCGTCCATGCTGCCGGCGCACGTACTTAGCATCCTCCCCTCAACACATAACAGAGTCTCATCTGCATACAGCGACACGTCTCGTTCCTTTCTTCCAGCTCCTGCTCTCCGTTCTTAGTAACAAAAGAGTAATCGGGTGTTTACGGGTACAGAGAAAGGTTTTTGGGGACTGACTCGCTGCTTTCTTTAACAATCACATCCTCTCTCGATGCTCCAGCAGCAGGATTAAAGTTGCTCATGTTTATTCAGCAGTTTCTACTCATAAACACGTCAATGCTTCCTGACAGGAGCCGATTCCACCAGTCAGCAGTGTTGTTGAGGATTTAAGCGTAAACAACAACCAGGCCGCTGTATGCATGTCAGTGTGCCCCCTGTTGGCCAAATGCTGTCTTCTCACCCCTGTGCTCCTCCAGCTCCTCCTCCACCATGAGCGTCTTCTCCAGTTCGATGGCTGGTCTGGGGTCGGAGGTGTGTGGCGACACCGCCTCCCTGGTCTCTTTGGAGTCAAGCGTTTTCCTCAGCGAGCGGACGGCGTCCTGCGTCAGCGACACACTCAACTTCTTCATCATCAACGTTGGCGGGAGTCGCTACATGCTGTCGCAGGATCTGCTGGCGTCCTACCCGGAGACCCGGCTGGGGAAACTGGCCTGCTGCAGCCGAGACTCGGCGCTGGAGCTCTGCGACGATGCCGACTTCCTGGAGAACGAATTCTTCTTTGACAGGAACTCCCAGGCTTTCCAGTAGGTGGCGCTCTTTCTCCTTGCAGAGACAACGAGTTTAAAGTTAAAGTTTAAAGTTAATGTGCTTGTGCTGGCCTGCCTGTAGCTGCTGTAGACACGGCGCTGATGACTCGTAAAATTAAAAACTAAATGTAAGAGCACTCAGAGCTGCAGACTTTATAGGTTTCTATTTTTTATTAGTTTTTATTTAAATAAATTATTGAGGGTTTTTTAGCTTCCAGAGTTGGTTTGAGTTCAGCGTTTTTGTTTTCATCATGTGGCCGGGATTTCAGATTACCATGACAACACCATCAACACACAGGCAGATTTTTAGGTGTTGTTGTCTGTTTTTATATTTTTATGACATCTGATTTAAAATTCGATCGCATTTCTTCCCTTTTATCTTTGCCATCGCTCAGAGGAAGCTTCACTTCACACCTGGCGGTCTATGTTCAGGTGACCTCTGTTCAGATTAGTAAGGGTGAAGAAGTGAAGAGTGAGCATGCTCAGTCGGCTCAGTTTTCTGCAGTAAAATAGCAGGGTCACGTCCGGCACGCTGACGGCAAGCATCGTGCCTTGATCGGGCGCGCTCAGACGGTGACGGGCTCTGAACACGGGAAAATAAAGTTTCCTTCTGTCTTTTCTTCTTCTTGTTTCATGACATCTGATTTAAAGTAGAGATGGCACGATACCACTTTTTTATGTCCGATACTGATATCATAAATTTGGATATCGGCTGATACCGATATGAATCCGATATAGTGTTTTTAATCAATAAAACTGTTTTTTTAATATCTTACTGCATTTTGTATAAGTTCATACTCAAGTTTAAATAAACAAAACACTAAAGCTATTCTGTTATACCTGTATGCAAAAAATACACTGCACCCAAAATATTTCACAGTTCAGCAAAACTGATCAATCTAATAAACTTAAACCTGCTCCATCCTCCCTGTTCTGGTATTTTAAAGAGAACTTAGCAGAAATGTTAAGCAACCTAACTAATAGGGCTGCAAACTCCCAGCAAAAAAAAAAAAAAATAGGGAACCTCCCACCCTCCACCTCATGATGCTTAATCGATGTAATCAACTTTAATTTGATGCAGGGTGGAAAAAAATGCACAGAAATCAATTATTTTTCAAGAATAATTAAATAGATTCAACATCTTTCTTCAACAAAACTGCAGACTGCACAGATGGTTCCCAAAGGAAAAGTACTACAGCTTACTAGGGTATATTAGACTTAATAGTTACTATATACAGTAATGGACTTCTATACATTTTACATCAGATTCAAACTTTGGTTGTAAGATTCAGATAATTATTTATTAAAAGCCGACATTTTAAATGAGAATAAGAAAGAAAAGTATGTCTTTGTGCCCCCTCTTCCCTGTTAATGCCCTATCGGCCCCCCTGGCTAAACTTTGCTAGATCCGCCCCTGCACAGTTACCAGCCGTCAGCTGCGTAGAAAAGGATCCTCGAGTAGAAAGTAATAATAAATAAATTCTAACAACAGCTGATCAAGCTTAAACGTGCTGCTGTTGTTCAGCCGCTGGTTTCCTCTTTCTGCTGCAAAGTGGGCCAAAAACAAACAAGAGAGATGATCAGCTGATCATTGATCATGATTGAAGCAGCAACAGGAGAGGGAGGGGGAGGCAGTCGCTCCATATATATCAGTTGTTAAGCTTAACGCTGGAATGCTTTACAAACATTCAGAGATGAACTTACTTCTCTCGGGGATGAAATGCTGGTTTGGTAGCGAGGCTACAAATACACAAAGCCGCTCGATCACGTGACCACACTGCTCCCACGTGCTACGGTTATGAGCTGAGTTACGCTGTATTGCAAGTTTTGTGAGGTGCTTTTCTGATATTTAATGGATCGAATTACATTTTTTATTTCTCTCCGTTATCCGATCCAGTAATTTAGGTCAGTATCGGACCGATACTGATAGGTAATATCGGATCAGTCCATCTCTAATTTAAACCAAATAAATTTGAAGGTTTATGAACA